GCCGGTTACCTTGATGCGCTCCCGGCACTGGGACGGGGTCCGCTCGTAGCCCAGCTCGGCCAGGGCCCGGGACACGCGCTCGTACATGGCTGGCCCGGGGGCCTTGCTGCCGAACACCGTGCCGGCTCCCTCCAGCTGCTGGTACCGCGCCTCCACCAGCCGCTCGTTGCCCCACACTGCGATGAGCGCGTTCGTCTCGGCTGGCGTCCACGACATGCCCCGGCAGGCGGCGGCGGCGGCTGCCGCAGCCCCGCCACTGCCGCCACCAGGGGAGAAGGAGACCGAGGACGAGGCGGCGCTGCGGCCCCCCAGCCCCAGCCCAAGACCCCCGGACGCCGCTGCCCCCGAGCCCGCCGCACTGCCCGGCCCGAGCGGGGAGGCACCCCGAGGCGTGGAAGGGTCGGACAGCGATGGATTTCCGTCGCTCAAGCCACCAGGAGAAGCCGGGGAGAGCACCTCCATCTTCGGGATTTTTAGCGGCGAGTTGGCGGGCAGCTCCGAGCCACAGGGCGCAGCCATCTTCCAAGCCGCCGCCGCTGCACCGCCCGGAAGTGACGCGCCCGCGCATCCGGCCACCGCCGTCTCCGGGGCTGCCCTCGGGCCTGACTCGCCCGAGGGCGGACGGCTTCGGGTCTCTGCAGCTGTGGATGTGGCTGCTGGGCGGAGGTCATCTGATCCCCTGGGCCTTTCTCCGCGAGCCCTCCCACGCCGCCCGCTCCTCTCCCTGGGCGAGGGGCGGGAACGGTGCACGCCGAAGCCCCGAGCTGAGGAGAAGGGTGGGGGCATGAGGGCGCTAGAGTGAGGAACAGATTGGAGCCTTCCCACTTCCTCTCCAATCTCAGCCCCCGGCGGGAGGGGTGAGGCCCGCGAGGGGGCCCGGAGTTAAGGAGGAATTGACCATTTATTTCTCTCTCCTGTCTCCCCCGCCTCTGCCCGTCTTCCCTCTAAGCCGGCCTCTAGGTGTAGAGGCTGACGTCCAGGGTGGAGACCAGGGAAGCCTCCGTAGGTGTATCCGGGAAGCCACCAAGGCTGAAAGGAGAGCGGTTCTGAGGGGGGGCTTTAAAAAGCAGTTATGGGCCAGGATAGAGTTCCTACGCTGAAGCTTTTCAAGAAACCCAATCTCATTAATTGAAGAACAGCAACTGTTTAATTCCAGTTATAAACTATTGTTTTCCAGTTAGTCTGGGTAGGTGTGACCGTTTGTGGAATAGTCTTCATTGCGTTGGTACAGTTGTACCAATTGAACATGTAAAAACTCCTGAGCCCAGCAGAAAAGTTACTTTACAATACCATTCTCCATTCTCACTGCTTTGGAAGTTGCATCGTTTTCCCGGTTTTTCATACCGGGACAATTATGACAGCTCTGTGCTCCGGTATGAATTAGTGCATTAGCTACTCCTGAACGTTCCTTAAAGTGCTGGAACTTAACAGTAGCACGCCACATCCAGTACACATCTGTACGGTATTTCCCTATTCTCCAAAGCTGAAAATCTTAATTGTATATCTTGGATCATTAACTTAAAAACCTCAGCGGATATTTTTTTTTCAAAACAGACTTGTAACTGAGGATGCTGACCAATGAGTTCGAATAAACTATGCGATAGTTTTTGAAATAACAAATGTATGTTAGTTTTTTTAAGCTGAGGTCACCTACGTTTGGGGGTGTGTGCTTTTTTAAATTACCGTTTTATTTCAATTGATTTTTTTTAGGGGGGAACAGGTGGCATTTGGTTACATAAATAAGGTTTCTAGTGGTGATGTCTGAGATTTTGGTGCAACCATCACCCGAACAGTGTATACTGTACCAAATGTGTAGTCTTTTATCCCTTCACTATCCCCCCGCCTTGCTTTTCCCCCTGAGCCTGCGAGTCCCCGAAGTCCAATGTATCATTCTTACTGAGATAAGCTACATTTTTAACTCTGCGACTCACTGGAGAGAATGACTGTGGTTTTCTTTGGTTGTTACTGAAAAGCTAAAGGATTAAGCAGTAGGGATAAAGTAGAAGAGGAGATAATTGTCTTTGTATGTCATGTGAAAATGCCACCATAGTTTATAAGCTAACAGTAAGAAGCCTAAGGAAGTTCCCGAAGTTATGATATCCTCTTCCCTTTTGTGTTGATATTCACTCGGAGTGGCTGGCAAAATATTAAAGATATATTGGGGAAAGTAATAGATTAGTCTCAAACCTTTTGGAACGCCAAAAGATTTTATTGGGGCAGGCCGAAGGCCCATTAAGTTGGGATGATAAGAAGCTTTTCCTAGTTTAAGTCTGTTTACCCTACATCCCGTTGTCTCTAACTGTTTACTCGTGTAAACTTTGTGCTGGATGGCCCTATTGGGGAGATCAAAAGGGAATTACCTGTTAATAGTGTTTATTCTGGGCCTGGAACCTAAAGCTTTTATCATTCGTAAAACCACTCTTTTAACCATCTTAGTTATCCACAAGCGTGTTGACTTAGAACCTCTGTTATGAATAAATGTGTGGATGGACAGAGGGTCTTGGTCAATTGGTTGCATTTCACCCTCAGAAAGGAGCCAGCAGCCATCCCTGGCCCACTTGTATCACTGTAATGGTGTGAGTGAATTCATTCATTCCTTGTAAGTCAGGGTCTGCAGGCCATACTTGCGCAGGTGATGACCAATGGCTCACTTTTTTCCAAAAAAAGATGCAGTCTAGCACCTCAGTTAAGAATATGGACTCTAAAGTCAGACTGCCTGGCTTCAAATTCCATTTCTGTGACCTCAGCAAAGTTACTTAACGAAGCTCTCAGTGTCTTGTTTTCTTCATCTGTAAAATGAGATGACATCACAGCATTGTTGAGAGAACTGATTTAATACAGGAAAAGTCCTTAGAATGGTGCCTGGTTCACAGTAAACATTGTGTGAAGACTCTAGTAGAATCTCAAACATCTGTTAAAGCAAAATTAACTCTTAATCAGCCCAGTGATAAATTTTTTTAATGTCATAAGGTATTTAGTGTGGCGTCAGAGATGCCAAAGATTTGTGTGTATGTGCCTGTGTGTGTGTGTGTGAGAGAGAGAGAGAGAGAGAGTCTCACTCTGTCACCCAGGCTGGAGTGCAGTGGTGTGATCTCAGCTCACTGCAACCTCTGCTCCCAGGCTCAAGTGATTCTCCCACCTCAGTCTTTCAGTTAGCTGGGACCACAGGTGTGTGCCACCTCACCTGGCCAATTGATGTATTTTTTTGTAGAGAGGAAGTTTTACCATGTTGCCTAGACTGATCTCAAACTCCTGGGCTCAAGTGATCCTCCCACTTCAGCCTTTCAGAGAGCTAGAATTACAGGCATGAGCCACTGCACCCAGCTCTCCAAAGAGTTTTAAAATTACCACTTTAGGGCTGGGCGCGGTGGCTCACGCCTGTAATCCCAGCACTTTGGGAGTCCAAGGCGGGTGGATCACGAGGTCAAGAGATTGAGACCATCCTGGTCAATATGATGAAACCCAGTCTCTACTAAAAATACAAAATATTAGCTAGGCACGGTGGCACATGCCTGTAATCCCAGCTACTCAGGAGGCTGAGGCAGGAGAATTGCCTGAACCCAGGAGGCAGAGGCTGCAGTGAGCTGAGATCGCATCATTGCACTCCAGCCTGGGTAACAAGAGCGAAACTCCGTCTCAAAAAAAAAAATTACCACTTTAACCTCTCATCCCACAAGCCTGAAAATAAAAACCCTCCTCCTATTATCATGGGATCCTTGGGATGTCGCTTTGCCAGCCAGAACCCTCCTTGGCTGGTGGTGCCTTTGCCCAAGTTTTGCGCAGACCCACTAGGCTCCTTCCACCCACTTTCAGCCTGGCAGGCTGCACTCAAGTCATGCTACCAGCCCAGATGCCATGCCTGCCAAGGGTGAACCAGGTGCAGAGTGACAAGGGATGCATGAGTGAGAGAACGTTTGGTCTGCCCACTACACACAGCCAGGCACATCAGCTATGGAAGGGTGGGCAGCTCCAGGTGCCAGCATGGGCACTGGCTCCCTGCGAGGCTGCGGCTGGACCAGGTGTACTGCACATGGCTGCTACTGCTGCCACCAGGGAATGTGGTGGCTCCCAGAAACTTGGAGACACCAGGAACTGCAGAGCCCCAAAGAGGGTATCACAGCCCTGGCTCAGGGAGCTCCTATATCTGGGCTCCTCAAAGAGCCACAGCTCTTCTGTCCTCTCTTCTCCTCATCATGCACAATGTGGAGAGTGAGATGCATGTTTCAGCCTTATTTGTGTTATATCTCTTTCAGTACCACTATTCAGCAGGTCCCAAGTTCTTGTTCTTCCAGGAAGAATGAGGTATGCAGACAACTGGAGGGTGAGAAAGGGAAAGAGGTGCTTTAATGAGTGACAGTACAGCCCTCAGGAGACCCAAAGTGGATAGCTCCTTTTTATAGGCAGGTTGTCCCAATGAGTGCAGCTGTCAGCAGAGAGAACTGGAGTGGGTAGCTCCTATCTGCCGGCAAGTCATCCCGTTATCTGCCTGAGTCTAGCTGAGTCGGGGTTTTTATGGGCTTCAGAGGGGATAAAGTGCCTGCTGATTGTTTCATGGGTAGCCATAGGGTGGCCCCGAAAAAGCATTGTAACTTCTCACTCGGGTCCACAGAACTGGCAGCCCAGCCCCAGGCTACAGGTTGTCCCTGGCTTGAAGGTGGGGGCTTCATCAAGACCTACCCCTTTCTGCCCAGGAGACTACCTCCTGCTGCTGTCAACCTGCTGTCCACAGCACCCATGGCACTCAGGCTGTTTGTGCTGAGGGGTACCTGCAGACCCACACTGAGCTGCACTCAGCCTCCCTCCCATGTTTGTTGGTGTCCAAAGTCCAGAGGGGCCTGAGGCAATAGGGGTCTGGTGTGTCAGTGCTGCCCTGAGTGCGAGCACACCTGGGCAGGTTGCGACAGGACCGAGGCTCACCTCAACTTGGCTCCGAGATTGGATTGGCCTGGGGAGTGGGGAGAGGCCAGACAGTGGGAGCAGGCATTTCTCTTTTTTCTTTCTTAACAAGATTCGTCCACTTTAATGCATAAAACCCTTTTAAATCAGTGTCAACCAGGAAAATTCATGTCAGAAAAAATGGAATGAGAGCAAATATTCTATATTCAGAACATCTGAGAAAACATTTTTGACTGTTACAAAAGTTTATTTAACAAAAAGTCTAATAGGAAAATGTACATGACCTAATTTTTACATCATAGTGAAACAGGCCCTATAGAGAGAGGATATGGGTTTCTCCGCTGAACAGTCATTATTTATACTCGTTCCAAGGCTTCTAACATGATGATACTATTTCCTCGTATTACCACCATTCCAATATTGTTCTGTTGTCCGCTAGTCGCCATCTCCACACATTCATCTAACACAAGATTCATAAAGGGATCAAATCCCCTCACTGTTCGTTGGACATGTCTGCCACCATTTAATTTCAATGATAACTTCTTGTCCATAAATTTTTTCAACTCAAGAGGGTGAGCTTTGCTCATGATGGCTACTCTGTGGGCACACAGAGGCCTTGGAATTTCTCAGCCTGCAGGGGCAGGGGCTTCCCAGGTACTTGAGAGTACAGAGATGCCCTAATCTGTGGCCGTGGCTGGGTGGCTCCCTGTGCCTGGGAGGGTGGTGCTCCTGCCCTGCCATCTCAGAAGGCGGCGCCTGTTCCTGGCTAGCTCTATGGAGCACACAGCCTGGCTGCAACTGGCGTCTTGCAGTAGCCACTCCAGACAGGGCATTGCTGCTATCACTATTGCCTAATTTTGGGTGATTCTCAAATCAACCCTGAATCATACAGGAAGACTTCCTCAATAACATGACATGATTGAGAAGTCGCCCTTCCCACAAACTTCCGTTTCTAATTATTTCTGTATTATACCTTCTCCACCTCATTCCCATACCCATCAGTCTACGTAATGATAAAAAGCTGTAACAAAAATGAAATTTCCAGCAACATCCTAAAGTTAAAACTAAGCCAATACCATAAAAGCTATTAATACATATTGCATACTATATAGGCACTGCTAAATAAGCAGCCAGGATCACATATTTGTCATATTGGCATGACTAATCCTGGATTTTGGTGGATGTGTGTGTGGTGCAAGGTGCCTGTTCAAGACGTCATAGTCCAGTCAATTTATGGAATGCCTACTGTGTTTGAAGTAGTGTGGTATGCCTAAATGTCTCAAAAATAATATAATGTGCAAAAGAATAAGACAGTACATATTAATCTTCTATCTGTAAACTGTCATCCGCTCCCTTTAGTTGTATCATCCTTCATTCTTTTCCTCCACAGTCTGTGTCAAGTCAACTTTCCTGTGTCTTCCCTGAGGTGACACTGGTCAGAAGTCCTCTATCTAGTACCTGCTCACACAACCTGGCACCTCACATTCCTGTTTTCAGTTTGTTTGTTTTTTTTTTTTTGAGACGGAGTTTCGCTCTTGTTACCCAGGCTGGAGTGCAATGGTGCAATCTCGGCTCACCGCAACCTCCGCCTCCTGGGTTCAGGCAATTCTCCTGCCTCAGCCTCCTGAGTAGCTGGGATTACAGGCACGTGCCACCATGCCCAGCTAATTTTTTGTATTTTTAGTAGAGATGGGGTTTCACCATGTTGACCAGGATGGTCTCGATCTCTTGACCTCGTGATCCACCCGCCTCGGCCTCCCAAAGTGCTGGGATTACAGGTGTGAGCCACCGCGCCTGGCCCCTGTTTTCAGTTTTAAAAGCTTCGTTAATTCTGTTGCATGCTCTAGCCCTAATGTTTTATGAGTCAGTGTGTTTGTTTTGTTATCTTATTTCCTTCACATTCCACATCAAGTCCTATTACCTCTGTCTCTGAAATATTTCCTAAATCTGACCACTTCTCAACCCTAGTCTAAGCCTCCACCCCGTCTTTATTCAATAACTGGACTTCCTGCTTATACATTTGCTGCCTACACAGTAGCCAAAGTGAACTTAGTTTTAAAAACTTTTTCCTTGTGAAGTATGCATATAGAGGAGTACATAAAATATACGTATAATTATATGCATTATTATAAAGCAAATACCACATAAGCACCATCCAGATCAAGAAATAGAAGATTTCCAAAACTCTAGAGATCTTGCCCCACTCACCCCTTCCCAGTATTACCCTCATCTCCCTTGTCAACATAACCACACTCCTGACTTTCTTTATAGTTTTATGATTTTATTATGCATTGCTAAACACTAAAGTTTTCTCCAGTTTTGAACTTTTTATAAATGAAATTATGTAATATGCATTGTGTCTGATTAATTGAATATTATTTTTTAAAATTAAGGTTCAGGCCAGGCATGGTGGCTCACCCCTGTAATCCCAGCACTTTGGGAGGCCAAGAGAGGCAGATTACCTGAGGTCAGGAGTTTGATACAACTTGGCCAACATGGTGAAAACACGTCTCTACTAAAAACACAAAAATTAGCCGAGTGTGGTGGTGGGCACCTGTAATTCCAGCTACTCAGGAGGCTGAGGCAGGAGAATTGCTTGAACCTGGGTCATGAAGGTTGTAGTGAGCCGAGAACACACAATTGCACCCCAGACTGGGCAACAAGAGCAAAATTCCGTCTCAAAAAAAAAATTAAGGTTTATATATGTTGTATGAGGCTGTAGCTAATTCTTTTTTTTTTTTCTGTAAAATGCTCTTTTGTGGCTATGCCACCTTTTTTTCTTTTGAGATGGTATCTCATTCTATCACCCAAGCTGGAGTGTAGTGGCACAGTCACGAGTCACTGCAGCCTCAACCTTCTTGGCCTCAAGTGATCTTCCCAGCTCAGCCTCCCAAGTAGCTGGGACCACAGGTGTGCACCACCACACCTGCCTAATATTTAAAATTTTTGTAGAGGCAGGATTTTACTACATTGCCTAGGCTGGTCTCAAACTCTTGGGCTCAAGCAATCCTCACACCACCACTTCCCAAAGTACTGGGATTACAGGTGTGAACCACTGTGTCCAGCCCAATATATCACATTTTATTTATCCATTCTACTGTAGAATTTTTGAGTTGTCTCAAAAATTTGTATTTTTTGGTATATTATGAATAACGCTGCTATTTGAACATTCTTATACACATCTCCCAGGTCATATGTCCAAGTATTTCTATAGCTCCCTCCCTTTCTCCCTCCTTCCCTCCTTTCCTCCCTCCTTTCCTTCCTTCCATGTGAATACAAAATTATTCCAACTCCATTTATTGAAAAGACTATCCTTTCCTTCTCTTTTTTGTAATGTCATCTTTGACGTAAACCACGTGTCTGTATATGCATGGGTCTGTTTCTGAGCTCTTTCTTCTATTACATTGGTCTGTTTGTCTATCCATTTTTCTATTTGTGTTGCTTGTGATAATATCACACTGCCTTAATTACTGTGAGTTTATAATAAGTCTTTTGTCAAGTACAGGAAGTCCCTCCTTCTCACCCTCTTGCTTTTTCTCCTCCTCCTCCTCCAAGAGTAGCTTGCTATTTTTAACACTTTGCATTCTCATATACATTTTAGAATTAGTTTGTCGTGTTCTACAGAAAAAACTGTGGTTATATTGAATGGTATTGCATTGAATCTATTGGGAAATTTGAGAACTGACATCTTTACAGTAATCACCCTTAGAGTCCTTGGAAATGGAAAAAACCTTCACTTATTTAGTCTTTAGTCTCTCAGTAAAATTATATAATTTACTTCATAAAGGTCTTACACATTTTTGTTCAATTTATTCCTAAGTAGTTGATTTTTAAATATGTTTTTATCAGTGGTATCACTTTTAAATTTTCTTTTTTTTTTTTCTTTTTTCTTTTTCTTTTACAGAGTCTCACTCTGTCACCAGGTTGGAGTGCGGTGGCGCGATTTCAGCTCATTGCAACCTCCACCTCCCAGGTTCAAGTGGTTCTTCTGCCTCAGCCTCCCAAGTAGCTGGGACTACAAGCATGCGCCACCATACCCATCTAATTTTTTTATTTTTAGTAGAAATGGGTTTTCACCATGTTGTCCAGGATGGTCTCGATTTCTTGACCTCGTGATCCGCTCGTCTCAGCCTCCCAAAGTGCTAGGATTACAGGCATGAGCCTGTATTTTTTTTCTTTTGAAACAAGGTCTTGCCCTGTCACCCAGGCTGTAGTGCAGTGGTGTGAACATGGCTCACTGCAGCCTCAACCCTCGGTACTCAAACAAACCTCCTGCCTGAACCTCCCAAGTAGCTGGGTCTGCAGGCATGCACCAACACATCTGTCTAATTTCTAATTGTTTTTGCTGGTATAAAAATACTAATTGATTCTCTCATTTTTCTATCCACTAATCCTGGTGAAGCAATTGATTAAAGTTGTAAATCATTGCACATTGTTCTCTTTTTAAAAATCTGAGCCTAGTGAGACCCCGTCTCTACAAAAAGTTTTTTTTTTTTTTTTTAATTAGCTGGGCGTGGTGGTGCACATCTGTGTTGCAGCTACTCGGGAGGCTGAGGTGGAAGGATTGCTTGAGACTTGGAGATGGAAGCTGCTGTGTGCCATAATCGAGCCACTACACTCCAGCTTGGGTGACAGAGCAAGACCTTGTTAAAACAAAAATCACCACCATCACCCACGAATGGCTTTCCCTTGGAATGATATAAGCAAAACTCTGCCATGACTATGGTGGTTTTAAAACATGTCTGCACACTGTTTGACATTCTTCCAGGATGTCTGTGTTTCCTCCCCTTAAATGTGGTTGTGTCTTGGTGACTACCTTGATAAACCAAATGCAACAGAAGTGACACTGTGACTTTCAAGGCTAGATTTGAAAATATCCTGCAGCTGCTGGCAGTTTCTCTTGAGATACTTGCTTGGAGATATTTCATCCACCATGTAAGAAGTTAGGCTATCCTAAGTGCACATCGAGAGACAACAAAGAGAACAAGAGAGATAGCCAATGAGCCAGAAGTATTCCAGCCTCCAATTGTCTTTCTGCCTACTCCAGGCTCCAGACTTGTGAATGAAGAAGTGTTGAGATGATCCCAGCCCCAGCCACCATCTCATGTCAACCACGGGAGAGATCCTAAGGAAGCACTGCCTAGCTGGCCCCAGATTCATAAGCAAAATGAATTATTGTTGTATGTTCTAACCCACTAAAATCTTGGGTATTTGTATGTAGCAATAGATATTTGGAACAACAATCTGCAAGGCCCTTTTGACCCTGAGCTTAGCCTACTGTGCAAACTTTATCTACCACCTGAGATATGCTCCAGAATACTGACCTCATCTGTCCCATCAAACAACTCAAGTTTATTTCTGTTTTGGAGCATGTGGGGTTGTCACATCTCCTTATCTTAGAACACTCTTAGCTCTTCCAGTGACAATTGCCTTCCTATAATTCATCTCCTCAAATGTCACCTCTCCAGAGAGGCCTGTTACCATTTTGTCAACAGCACTTATTTTCAGAAAACATTTGTTTATGTATATTAATTTTCTTATGTATTTATTGTCTGCATTTTCTTTCTAGAATGTAAGCTGTTTTTGA